AATTTGTTTTGTATATGCTTCGGCTCTATATTAATGTCAGGAATCTATTCCCTCATCTTGGAGGCAACCATTACAAAAGTATCAGCCTTAAAACTGCCGGTCTCACACCTAACACCATCAGCAACCATCTCCTCGAGGATGGTAAGTTGTACATTCTCCTCATGATCAATCCAATTACGTGAGGTGGCCATATAATCTATCAAAGAAGCCATATATTACATATGTAACACAAATAAAATTATCAAAGAAGCCATAACATCCAAATAACTCCCAATTACCACATTATAATAACAAACATCTCAATAGTCTTGATGTTACGAATTTTCAAGCCAATTACAACTACATTGAGTCCACATCTCAATAAAAGACAATTACAACAACTACGATATCAACCAATTTTTCAAGCCCTCATTCCTCTCCACTCATCATATATTTCTCTTGCAAGATCTTCCCTCCATTGAGTCCATATCTGGCTTGACTCAACGGTTTCAATGTAGGCTAATACTTCTAGTAAATCTTCCCCTATAGGTAATTCATCAAATGCAAGCCTTGCATTTTCCTCAGGATCAACCGCCATATACATTCTGATAAAATTATGAAGTAAACTACATGCGGTGATCATTCGTCCCTAAATCTTGATTGGATAGTGGGAAGAACTTCTTAAGATAGCCCAATGTCGTTTGAGGAGGCCAAAACATCTTTCAATGACATTCCTAGTACATGAGTGTTTCATATTAAAATATTCTTCATGATTCCTAGGTGCACATGAATTATCTTCCCACTCTTGCACATGGTATCTAGTGCCTCTATACGGTGCCAGAAAACCCTCACCATTCGTATATTCGGAATCAACCAAATAGTATGTACCTATATTAGTTGATAATAAATTTTAGTTGTTGGCCAACAAAGGTAAGGAAAAATACTAGGTACTTGTCTATCTTACTAGTTGGGACCTTAAGGCCATTAGCTCTAGTAACAGCGTCACCAAGAACTCTCGAATTAGTAGTTGATCCCTCCCAACCGAATAACACATATACGAATTTGAGGTCGTGTGTGCATACGCCTAACATATTAGTTGCTATATGACCCTTCCTTGTTCTATATCTTGGTCTATCGACATCAAGCACAGTGACCTATATGTATGTTCCATCTATCGCTCTTAAGCAACCCTAGACAAAAGAAAAACTTATATTAATTAGCAACTACAAATAATAATGTTATTAATGATTTTACTATGATGATTACCTTAAAGCATTTCCATCTCGATTCCGTGCAATCCTCTAGGATAGGGGTTGGTTTTCCAAATAACACATCTTGCAAACTGAGCAATGCACGCAATACTCTGCGGATATACCGACTAATAGTTTCACCAGACCTAATGAATCTAACTTGCATTGACCTATTTTCATTGTGGTGGGCTAATATGTTAACAAAAGTAGTTACTTGCTCATCTATTGTAACATGACCATCATCTACCAATCCACCACGAGTTTGTAGTAAATCACATAAAACTGCAAATGCATTCCTATCCATTCGCAGCTCCCACAAATAGTTAGTATCACTCAATTGCGTGATACAATTTATTTCCTCTCTCCTAACATGAAGTCTAACAAATGTCCTCTGCTCTAAACTAGCTATTTCCCGTTGTCTCCTTTGTTGCTGTCTATACCTTAACAATTGTGCATTCATAGTAAAGACTTGTGCCATTATAATCCAAACGTTCAAAAGAACAAAGAATTGAGTCTCATATTCATCCATACCTTCACATGCAAAAAAAAACAACACATGAATGAGTGGGGCATCAACATACGCTAAATTCAATTTAGATACTTGGACTTGGTAAAATTAATGATAAGAGTTTTACTCCAAATTTGGTTGAATTGAAACAGAAACTCATGTGCAAATATTTTATTTTGGAATTGTGAACTAAACCGTATTTTATTCTCTTTACATTAAACCCCAAACCAACACCCAAAATTATTTCCACATGTGGTCCAGCATTGACCCTACTTACAACAATTTTCACCGCTAAGTTGGAAAGCTGCAACATGAATGATATATATGTTGAGTTTTTTTTGTCTTCCTTCTATCCTTGCATTTGTCTGTGTCCATATTCAAGATATGATGGGAGTGGTTCTTGAAAATAGAAGCAATTTAATTTGGCTTTTAAAAAAATAACACAGAACACAATCCAACAGAGGAAAATCCAAAACATGTAACCCAATACAATCCAACAGAACCCCAAGACATTAGATTTATAGATTTTAACACATAAAAATCGAAACTTGAACACTGAAAAAATGAATCCAGATAGAGATACCTCTTAATGCAGTACTGCTCAATAGGGGAATAGAAGCAGATAAATAGAGGCGGGTCTTTGGTTGTAGATGCAGTATTGGGCAGATCAAAGCACTACAAAATACAAAGAAATCAAAACAAGCAAATCTAAGGAATGTAATATTGAGAAAGTACAATCCCACAACGTAAATATTACATGGATATATACATGGGATTCCATCTGATTCATGCAACTGGTCCATGGAATGGTAAAATGCCGAAAAATCTCTGTTTCCTCACTTAACATATATGGTAGAAAACTTCTTGTGGACAGATAAAACTTGGTTTCAATGGCACTAAAAATTCACCATGCATAAAAGTGAATATGAATTTTACAGCCATAAGGGGTATATATAACAAATAAAAAGTACCCATCTATGGAAATGAAGAAAATAGAAGGGAGGGAGGGAAAAATAGTAAAGGACAAATAAACAATAAGCAACATATCCATAAGAGGATAATTTTCAAAGAGAACCTCATACCAAATAACCAACAAAACAAAATAACATATGCAAAAGTTCACCTTGGTGCTGCTGCCACTTTAGAGCCTGACCAATTAAAGCCGTCAATCTTGATGGTGGCACCACAATAACTTTCGCAGCAAGTGCTGAGAAATTCAAAAGAAAATATAACTCGTCAAAGACAACAGAAATTTCAAAGAATAAAATTCAATAACAACTACTAAGATTTTTTCCTTTGTTATCTACATTTTTTTGTCAGATTTCAAAATCTGACACCTCTGACTGTATCTCACATTTAAACTTTCCATACCTAGGGCCTGGTCTAAATCTATAAACAGGAACAATAAAAAATAAATCAAAGGAAATGCTGAACATAAAATTTAGTAACAAGAAATCTTTGCTTTTCTTATGCATTATGCCATTTTATGACCATACGAGCATATTTCAGTTCTTAGAAGTCTTCAGACAGCAAGCATATCAAACTTTTTCTCCCCAAACTATGAATTGAACCGTTATCTGAAGATTGAAGCCAATCCAAATTGTGCATTTTTTTTTCTTCTGGTAATTATGTTCCTTCAGTGATAAATTTTATCTCTAATGATAGAGGAGAGAATACCTGATGTGTTCATTGAGATTAAAAACCTACTGGAAATAATAAAAAGTTCAATTATAGAAGGGAGATGGAGTGAAATCTTGAGCAATTTGAGCACGCCGCTTTTCTTTGGTTGACTCTTGATAAGCCTGTTATAGATAACAAACCTTTATTAAGTTTTTGATAAAGCATCATACTGATTGAAGTGAAAGCACAACATACTCCAAGACAGTGGAATGAGATAGAAGCAAATAATCTAATTTAATGGCATTACAGATACCAATAATGTGGTGCATCAGTAGTTCCGGAGTGCTGAATGTTTTGAGACCTTCAAAAGAATACAAAGAAATCGAAGCACTACAAAATACAAAGAAATTTAGCAGAATCAGAAGAGGCTCGAGGACTTGGCAAAATGGAAAGCTCAGTCTAAGCAAAGCTTGAAAGTGATTTTAGGTTCTTGGAAGGGTATGCAGGTATATAAAATGGAAATCTCAGTAAATTGTTCTGTCTTGTTTTGCAAAATCCATCTACTATTGGACAAGAAGTATGTGTTCTATCGCGTATGTTTACTGCAGTTTGGTTATGATGAAATTCCATCTTCTTTTCTTTTCTACAGGACAATTTTGAGGAATTAATGACATGGAAGGATAAAGTCGAGCAACAGGTAGTGGAAATTACAAATGTGTTGAATAATATGCAAGGACCAAAGCAGATCGAACCAACCAAAGAAAACCAAAACAGGTAGTGGAAATTACAAATGTTTTGCATATTAACTGGGTGTTAATGAAATCGAAACAAGCAAATCAGAAAAGAATAATAATGCCACTTCAAATTTACATCAAAATTAGGACCTCCTGGAAGCAATTTTTTTATTTTACAAAGAAAGAGGGACCGAGAGGCTACACAAAAACAGATTGAACCTCGAATGGAGATGCAGAGCTGAAGATGCTACACGGAATAGGATGAGGAGGAAGGTTGCGAAGGGGAGATGCAGAGCTGCTACACGGAAGAGGATGATGATGAAGGTTGCGAAGGGGAGATGCAGAGTTGAAGAGGCCGGATAATAAACATGTCGGCAACCTCATAGCATTTTCAGCAATTCTAAAAACAATTTCAAACGAGCCCTAAATATGGTTAGTTTTGCAAACAAATACTCATCTAGTATCCTAGTATTCATAACTGCATGCTTCAATTTATATGAAAAAATGCAACCGTCGGTGTTGGGAGAATCGTTGATGTTGGGTTTCTATTTTTAAGGTATAGAAAACCCTATTTTTTTAAAGGAAAACTAACGAAAAGTCCTAAAAAAAATTTATTTTAATAAAAATAATAAAATAAAGGTATAAGTGAATAGTATCAGGAGTGACTTTTCAAGGTAAAAATATCTTTAACATTAAAAGTGAACAGTATCAAAAATGTTTGATTATGATTCCCTTTTTTTTAAAGGGTTTAGGGGTTAACGGGAAATATACTCTTAAGTGGCTTGCATGTTGCTCGCGTGAAAACATGAACAAAATTGTGAAAGCAAAAATTTCAAAAGTAATTTGAAGTCATAAATGAGAGTCCAGCCCATACCAAACCATAGTTGCTGAAAGTCAATAAATATCCCCTGACCCACTTGGGCCCAATCCAAGGGGTCCCCAACTACCACCATTAACCCGCCGAGTCGCCTGGATTTCTTAGTCCAACCGTTGAAAATCGGAAAGCCAGAAATGGCAAGGCTATCCAATCTCTATCTCTTGGCTTACAACTCTCTTCAGGCTGCTGCATGGTAAAACCCCCTCAACACTCAAAACCCACCTCCCCAAATTGTCAGATTTTTTTTCAAATTCATATCAAAGTTCTCTCATTGCAGGGCAGTTTGTCTCTCTCTAAGCTTGAGCAGTGCCGTCAATGGCGCCTACGCTTCTGCTGGACACCTTATCTGTCAGTATTTAGTTCTATTTTTTCAAATTCTGAAATTCTGATTAAATTAAACAAAGAAATTGTTTTTTAATGAAGTGTTGGGTTTACATTTTTTTGCTGCAGATTTGCTCCAAATGGTTCAGTTCTTGGAAGTTATACACGGAGCCATTGGTGGGTTTTCTGAAAGACCTTTTTTTTTTTTTGTGTTGAAAGAAGAAAAACCCAATATTTATATAAGGTTTATTTTTGTAATTTTGTTAAGATTATGGGTTCTGTGTTTATATGTGTTTTGAAAATTGAGGTCTGGTGCCGAGTGGAGTTGTGTTTCCTCTGATGCAATGGGCAGGAAGGGCGCATTTTCTGTACGTTGTGCGCCAAACCCATGAGGTTTTCTTCTTTTCTTTCTCTCCTTTTTATCTGTTGGCTGTTTTAATTTCAGTTTAAGCACTAAAAAATTTATGGGTTAGATTATTTGAGATAAGATGAGCTTTCTGTGAATATATTGCATGGTGAGAGTGATAAGGGGATGCATGTTTGCAATGGGACAATGGTATATTAAGCATGAACTTGAATGCATATATGGATATTTGTTCGTAGGGCTTTCAAGATCCCCATCCCAAGTTCTCGAATCAAATAAAATTGCTAGATAAGATAAATTAAGGATACTAAGTAAAGATCAATCACATATGTACTTGGAACCAGTATGCTTTATGCGGTTCACCCCAAACTGGGGTAATCCAGTGACCATGATTTGAATGGAGAAAAGTATCACGATGAAGAATGTATAGGTTCTTCCTCGTGAAAGTATAATTTTTTCTTTTCCCTTGCATTCAATCAAGAACACTGAATGTACCCCAACCTCACTGGCAGTGTAGTCTCTGTAGAGAAACTTCTGCACGAGCTTTCACACATCCTGATGTCCAGGCTCTAATGTTCCATATATACCTTTAAGAACTAGGGTTGCAAAAATAGGGTAATAAAATACAAAATATATTTCTGGTTAAAAGCCTACAAATCTAACTTGTGGCCACTCGTACTTTCTAGAGCTATAGTTTATAAGGTTGAATCTGCAGATACTAGCTCAATCAATTTTAGCATGCGATGTAGTCAGATACAGCTTCACTTGAGAAAAATTGCACAAAGAGAAATCCTAAATTCTGTAGTCCCTGCAGAAGTGCTTTGTTCTTGTCACAATATGAACATTTATGAGGTTTGCTCATTGTTCACAACTAATTGAGGACCATTGTTTTGAGCATTTTGTAGGTCCAGGAGTCGCCATCAGTCTTCATAACTTTTGTTGCTTGGAGCCTAAGTGAGGTAATTTGGTTTAATCTTTATAATGCAATCAAAATTTGTTTAACTAAATAGCGTATGTCAAACTATGATCACAAACCTGTATGCAGGTTATTAGGTATCCACATTATGCTTTTAATTGCACAGGGAGCTGTCCATCTTGGATTACCTATCTCAGGTTCTACTCTTTCTCATTATGATGATAAATTCAAAAGTTCGCATACAAGCAAATACTTACAATAACACTTAACTAAACATTACAATTCAAGCAGAAGAGGATTTTCGTTTGCAATTATAATACTTTTGGTTTCCACTAGGTACACTGCATTCATTGTCTTGTATCCTCCAGGGATGGCTGGTGAAAGTAAGTTCATAGTTTCATTAGTCTTGGGTTTCAATTTTTGGCTGCATGTACAAGTCCCCCTCCCCTTCTCCGTTGATTTCTTTCTGTAAATGGTCGGTGATTACCATGCAGCCTGGCTTATGTACCAAGCACTTCCTTTTATAAAGAAGAAGAGCCTCTCCCCAGATTTCCCCGCTGGCCTCTCCTTCAGCTATTATAACTTTCTGAGGGTATGTTCTGATTTTCTTTCCACCATGATATGTTGCTTCTTTCCACTTTTCTAATTAGGCATTTTGCTGATAAAATATGCACTTAGGAATTTTTTTTATTAACATGCATTAAGCCTTCAAGTCTAAGGAAATTTGTAGTAGCTGAGGATAATTTCGTAGTTTTTCTGCTCTGCTTGGATGTGGTTGGGGTTCGATTATTATGGTTTTGTTGGGATATCTAAACTGAAGTGAGCTTCAAATTTTTGCATAACTTACCTTATTTCCTGTGCATTTACGCTTAGTGCACATTGTTATTGCGCTTCCTTGTTAACTGAGAAATTATGGATTCAGAAACTATTTGCTACTTTCTTGGAGGTTTTGGGGTGAACCCCAATTTGAAGCCTGGTTTTGGGTTGGTGTTGCACTACTAGGATATCTATTTATTTATCAAAGCTCCCCATGAAAGAAAGAAAATACGAAGTCATCGTAGGATCTCCCATTTCAAAGTTCGTATTGCCAAGCCCTTTCAGTGTCAGGTCTGTCCAGGAAAAGTGCCCTGGTTTTCTTGGTCCTCCAATGCGCCTCTATAAATATATTACTCTTTAAATCTTCCATGTGGTTCCTTCAATAAATGTTTTTAGTCTTCAATGCACACATTCAGAAGCCATGCAACAAGGGGAAACTTCTGCTCTTTTCTAACGCCTTAACTAATGTTTCAGATATTGTTAGCTTTTACCGTTGTGATTAATATCATTGGAATCTTCTTAATTCAGGTTTTGCTTGTCTGCTACCCATTCCTCTGCTTGAAACTTTACCTGCATATGTTCAAGCAACGCCAATCAAAACTGGGTAAGCACCCCAAGAAGAAGAAAAGGTGAAGGACCATTTGGTTCTTGATACCAATTATTTGCCAGTTGCTGGTGATTTAGGATTCAAAACTACATAAAGAGAGGCATGTATTGGATTTTAGTAAAATACTCGCCGTGGATTCTTGCTTCATTCTCCATTTCCCACTATGTAATTATCGAAGTCTAAACTTGTCTCTCCCATCTATTTTAGATGCCCGATCAATGTTGTCAATTCTTTCCCGATGATACTTTAATAGTATACTGGTTATGAATTTGATCTATTATGCAATTGTTTCATTGATGATATTAGTTGTTGGAAGTGATATTTTGGCACAATGTGTTGGATTTGTGATGCATGTAGTAGTGGAATTATACACTGAAGTTCTGATCCTTCTACACAAAAGTGTAATCTAGTGGCTGAAACAGATGTCTTTTGAGAGACGGGTATTTTTGCACCTCATGTGGATGGAGTCTCATCTGTTTTCTAGTTAAAGTTCTATCTGTGGTCCATCCTAAGTATTGTTTTAAATGTATGCAAAACTAACTACTCGTGATACATGTTCAATTCCTCTACCACTTCTTCCTTGTCTTTCGCTACTGCGATCAAGGTCCCTGGCTATGGATGTTTGGACCAGATAGAACCGGTACCAAGGACAGGATGCCAACTAGCAGGTATGCTTTTAATCTAACTGTACATTTCTATTAAGGTCCTCTAAAGCTTTGTCTATGTGCGTAGTTCACCCTAGCTTCTACATAGTTAAAGTGGCGCCTCTATGATTAGCATCTCGAAGTGTACTGCTCTCTCTCTCTCACACTCTCACACTCTCACAAACACACACACACATACACACACAAACATTTTCACTGTGCACATTATGTAAACGCATGCTACAAACAAACATGGACGTATTTGGAGTGAACCACGTAAACACTCGTGTCATTTGTATGATTGTAATTTCACCATCTTAATCCCGTCAATCCAATTTTGTGCATCAACAGCTTTCTGTCAGCCTCCATGGTAGATAATATAATTGCTCCTTTTCCACAGGCCATTATATGCTCAACGACACAATCTCAGTTACCTTTTTCCACTTACAAGTGATGCTTGAAGTCTATTTGACGCTTGAAGCAGACTCGGAAGCCCGTATTTTACTCTTACAAGTGATGCACGCATTTGTCCAAAATGGAGGAAGTTTGAATGAAAGTCCGATTTTGATATGCTAAGGAATGTAACTACAAGGGTATTATTAAGAGTTTTTCCACCACACGAGATATATGGCATACATCACAGCGATGAGCAGGACTTTCTGCATATAACATTGTATCATGGAATGTTGCAATAACAGTGTACTCGAATCATAAGAGTAGCTCCCCACTGCCTAGAGCATATGCTGCCGGCACATCCATCTTTGTTGTCCAAAGAGGCCGGCATGTATTCTAGGGCCTATGTGCCTCAGTTGTGGTTAGCCATTTCGTTGCATGTTTTGGCATGATATAGCAACCAGATTATCTCTTAATTTAATAATTAGCTGACTTATTTATACTTAATTAATTGGGTTAATATCAGTTTACTAAACTCAAGTTTCGTGGTTTTCAACATTTGGTACATGAAGTTTTTTTCGTCTCAAAGTCGTACCTAAAGTGTTAATTTTAAGAGTCTCATACATCTATTAGTCTGGCTGTTAAATCAGCCGTTAACTGATAACGTGACACTCACGTGAATAATGACTAAACGTTACATATCAATACGAGGCCCAGGTGAATATTAAAAAAATTAAAAAAAAAATTAAAATTAAAATTAAAATCTGGGCCACCAAGAAAAACAAAACCCTATTCGATCTCTTCCCACCTGCCATCGTTCCCTCCGCCAAACGCTTCAAATCCGATTCCACCGCAAGTGCCGACCACTCACTCTCGTCTACCACCAACAATGACTCTTCCTCCGCCGCCTCCACCGACCTCACCGCCCAGCAGAAGTCACGCATCGAATTCCAAAAGCTGCTCGCCAAAGCCAGACGCAACCTCTCCAGCTGCTCCGACAGAGTCTCCTATTCCAAGTCCAAATGTATTTAATTAGTTAAATCAAATTTCGCTACATTAATAATTAATTTGGGGTCCGGATAATTACTAATTAGGCGAAGGAGTGAAACTGGAGGAGCTGTTGGTGGAGGAGACGTGGCTGGAAGCGTTGCCGTCGGAGCTTCAGAAACCCTACGCCAAGACCCTCTCTAAGTTCGTTGAGAGTGAACTCTGCGGCGGCGTTCCCATATATCCTCCCACTCACTTGATCTTCAACGCCCTCAACTCCAACTCTTTCGACAGGGTCAAGGCTGTCATCCTGGGTCAGGACCCGTATCACGGTCCGGGTCAAGCCATGGGTCTCTCTTTCTCTGTTCCTGAGGGTGTGAAGGTCCCCTCAAGTCTGGTTAATATAATCAAGGAACTGAACAAAGATCTTGGCTGTTCAATTCCATCTCATGGCGGTGGGGTAGGGAAGAGGAGGGAGGGCGTCGGGAAGGGTGAGGCACGACTCCCAGATTTTTTTTTTTTAATTTTTTTAATTTTTAATTTTTTAATATTCATGTGGGCCCATATTAACACGTAGTACCAATCATTGTTCATGTGGGCGTTATGTTTGATTTAACAACCTAATTAACGGATGTATGAGACTATTTCAAAATACACTTTAGGTATGATTATGGGACGAAAAAAACGGATGTATGAGACTGTTTCAAAATACACTTTAGATATGATTATGGGACGAAAAAAAATTCATGCACTAAATGTTGAAAATGTATAAATGCCCCTTTACACCAAAAACATTTTCTCTTTTAAAAATGAGATTTTTAACGAAAAACTCTCATGTTCATTTTAACGAAAAATTACATTTTCATATTAAAAATCAATTTTTATACTATTCATTTTATCCTTTATGTATGAGACTATTTCAAAATACACTTTAGGTATGATTATGGGACGAAAAAAATGGATGTATGAGATTGTTTCAAAATACACTTTAGATATGATTATGGGACGAAAAAAACTTCATGTACTAAATGTTGAAAACGTATGAATGCCCCTTTACACCAAAAACATTTTTTCTCTTTTAAAAATGAGATTTTTAACGAAAAACTCTCATATTCATTTTAACGAAAAATCACATTTTCATATTAAAAATTAATTTTTATATTATTCATTTTATCATTTATTTTATCTTTATCATTAAAACTCAAAATTTTCAAAACATTTTCATTTGCTTTCCTTTTAAAAAAAAAATGAACACCAATTATGAATAGAAAACAAAACAATGCAACTTCCACATCAAATTCAACAATTAACAACATCCAAATTACAAAACGTTACCAAACACCACCCATTTCATCAACTTGAACTGAAACCAAAAAGAAAAAAAAAAAACTTGAAACTTCTTAGTAGTCTGCGGTAGGGAGCTGCTCGTGGGTGTCTGGGCCGATGAAGATGAGCTCGTAGACGACGGCAGCAATGGCAGCGCCGATAAATGGTCCGAGCCAGTAGACCCAGTGGTTGTCCCATGTCCAGCTGACGACAGCTGGGCCGAAGGAGACTGCGGGGTTCATGGATGCACCGTCAAAGGCACCGGCAACCAAGATGTTGGCACCAACAATGAAACCGATAGCAATGGGTGCAATGGTGCCGATGCTGCCCTTCTTGGGGTCCACGGCGGTTGCGTACACGGTGTAAACCAAGCCGAAGGTGATCACAATTTCGAGGACCAAAGCGTTCCATACACTGACGCCAGATGATAGGGAGAAAGCAGATGTTTCCTGCATCAAATCAATTAACATGTTAACAAAATTGGTTGTTTTCGATTGAAAGTATTAATTAGGGACGATGGGTTAGTGGCATACCAATCCGCCGGTCGCAAACTTGAGGAGCAAGCAAGCAACGACGGCTCCGATCAACTGGGCGATCCAGTACAAGATAGTCCTGACGAAAGTGATGTGGCCACCAATGAAGGCACCGAATGTGACGGCAGGGTTGACATGCCCGCCGGAGATGTTTGCGGCGATTGAGACGGCGACAAAAAGGGCGAAGGCGTGCGCTAGGGCAGCAGCTACAAGGCCGGCCGGTGTGGTTGATGCACTGTCAGTGAGCTTGTCTGCCAAAACAGAAAACAAAAAATTAAGCAATGCGTACTACAACATAAAAAATAAATAATATAATGTGTTTGAGAGTATGTTACATAAAACAGAGTGGAAAATGAAAGATGTGACTTCAACACAAATCGGTAAGATCCGTGCTTGAAATATATAGTCCGGATTTACAATCTGATAATATACGATGTGTTTGAACGAAAGTTACGTAAACCGAATTGGGAAATGGAGAGGGTGACTTACTGAAGGCCATGCCAGACCCTTCACCAGCAAAAACAAAGATGAGGACTGAGATGAACTCAGCAAGAGCTGCTTTCAGAGCATCAGCCTGACCAAACTCAGCTGAACTTCCCACTGCAATTCTGTTGATCGCCATTTGAACCTTTGACCTAATCAAAAAGCCTTTAGACGGACAGTCACGAGGAAAATAAGCTGCTTTTGCTCTGGGTGCTTTTGGTTAGTGTCATAGTGACAGTTATATATAGGGGTGCCTAATGACAACGTTAACACGATGAGTAACCGGAATAGTCGGTTTCCATCCGGTGACATCTGAAATTCAACGACATGTACAATTGGCAGCCACCTGTCATTGTCTGGGAGGGCTAGTTGGCGGGCCTCCAATTTGTTCCCATCTTGCCACGTGGACGGCTGATGTGACTTGGAGGCTTGACTGATCAGCAATGATGGAGAAGTTTGATCACATTCACCGCCCAATGTTTTGCCTTCGCGTCATTGCGGTTGTGGGTCCTCCCAATGATCCGTGTAAATTTAGACCGGCCAATATTATTTTATTTATAATTTGTGGCTAAGTGTGATTAGTTGGTGCTGGCTTCAATTGTCTTTTATCATGCACTAATCTCAAACAAAAAGGAATTCCCAACATAATTATAGTGATTAAATTCATTTTTCATTTGTTAAGAGTAATATTGCTTGGTCAAAATGTGTGATCATTCAAAATTCAGTTATTCACATTGCATAATTCAGTTAAAGACGAATGAAGATTATTGCTCCTACTTGTCTTTTTTTAACTTACGACAATGTTCTAAGAATTTCTACGTGACAAGAGTATAACTGCCATAACAACAAATTGTTTGATAGAAATCATCCGAAAAAGCTAAGGTATGGCAATTATAGGCAAATTGGCATAGACTTTTGAACTATTGAGCAAGAAAGCGAAAAGTTATGCAAATTTAAGGTACGTCATGCACTCAGTATGAAAACTTCATGAATTACGTATAAGGTTAAGGGGAAAATGATGTAACTATATGTTGGAATGATTGTTTTCTATCCCAAAAGTTGTTGAAAGAAAGTGAAATTACTTGTAAATAAACAAGTTCATGGGAACATTTATGTGAAGATATCTAAATTATAAACAAACAAAATGCTTTACAACGAAGCATCTCATCATCATATAAACTAATGTGGTTATAAAAATTAAATTGAAATTGTGGGCCGCCGGGGAATTAACAACGGTATATTCTTTAGGGTTAGGTTGTTTGTATGCATATACATGATTTGTTTGCTATCATCTCACCTATCCATTTAGGTTTCTCCTAATCCATTGTTAAAACGAAAAGGACGAACCGTCAATGTCATCTAATAAATGAGTAGCAAATAAGCAAATTACATCATAGGATTAATTAACAAAAAGAAATTGTATTTTCATATGGTCAATTCAAACATTGTTGTTCGTTGTTTATAATGATAAGTTCAGGTATAATATTACAATATTTTAAATGAAGACTTGTAGTATAACCGAATCTAACCACTTCATTTAGTGACCAGTTTGGTTTGTTTGGTTCGACCATTTTATATGAAGACTTGTTTAAGTGCTTCTGAAGAAAAAAATGGAAGAACCAAATGAACAAAGTTGAGGTTTCATCATTAACTGATAATATGGGGAGTAGTTCAACCTATAAGCACATGCAACCCCTATGTGAGATTGCTTCTCTCAACACGCCTTTACATGTGATTCCACTATAAAATCAATTGACAATATAAAGAGCAGCCCAATCTTTTATAAGCACATTCAAGGTCTCTCATTTCTCCGATGTAGGATTGATCTCTCAACACTAAATTGGTCACTAAATGAAAGTAGTTTGATTCGGTTATACTACTAGTTTGAGCCGTAAATCAAATCAACATGAACCAGCATGTTAGATTGATTTGGTATGGTATGTATAGAACTAAACTAGTCCACACTCTTTTCCCAAAAAAAAAAAAAAAAAACTAGTCCACACTCATCCCTAATTAACAATATGCTACTTGTTATAAATAAACAAAGTTCACGATATTGAAAAATTAAATAAAATGGTGTCACATGTTATGAGATTCAAAATGTTAGGACATTTTTTTTTCCACATCTCAAGCATTTTTCTTTTGTGGTAGGGGCCGTAGAATATGTGGCCATCACGACGCTAAAATAAGGTTTCATAATGCCATTCTTAATTTGTTGTTGTGCTCTGCTGTCATATGCAGATATGCTTTATATTATAATTAAAAACTTCATTTTAATCCTTAACAAAGATGAGTTTTAGACTATAACCTTGTGTAAGATTAAAATCCAATTTTAGTCCCTAGTACATTTAATCATCTCATTTATTAGTTATATTTTGATGTTTTATATATCTTTTTATTTTTATTTTAATGTCTACATTTAGGCAACTAATTTTTTTTATAATTTATATTCCGATAACAATTTTGTATGTTCTTTATTTAGGTGCATTAATACATTTGAATATTTCGGTATATTCATAGGTACATTAATTCAATATAATGTATTTTGGTACGTACATTTTGGTACACACATTTGAGTATTGATTTTTAGGTATGTTAATTCAATATACTACATTTCGGTACAATCATCTAGATACAAATATTTCGGTACAAAAAAGTCAATTTTATATATTTTGGCACAATCATTTTTTGTACACTTATGTATTTATATATTTTTGTATCACAAATTTCTTTTAGTATTTTATCATTTATGTTCATTTATAATTAAAGAACTAAATATGTGCATATTAATAAAATTAAAATTTAATGTGGAAAGATTAAATAAAAATACACATTAAATAATATAAATTGAATATAAATTTTAATAAAAGTACACTTCAAGGGATTAAATTGAAAATGTAATCTAGCACTAGGTTTTTTTTTAAATTTAATTTTTTGTAAGGACTAATGTTCAAAAACCCCTATTATAATTCCACAACTACTACGTTTTGTAGCATGACATCTCCGCTAATTAAAATTAGAGTATACTGCCGATTTGCCCCCTGAACTATCACCCAACTTTCGATTTCCCCCCTGAACTTTTTAATTGGAAAATTAAGGACTTAAACTAATTTTTTTGGCCGATTTGCCCCCTGCTGTCAATTTTTCATTCATTCCATCCAAATTTTTGTTAAATGGAAGCATATGCACAACATGTGTGGGTAGTTCGGTCGCTTCATTCTTTAAAATAATTGAAAACCTTAGATTTCTAAAATATAAACCTATGCAAAGATGTGTGATTCTATAGCTTTTGTATCTAAAGGTCTAGTGAAATGACACTTTTGTCCACAAATGAGTTACGTGGTTTACACATGATAAGAGTTAACGTTAATTTGGATGAAATCTATGAAAAACTAACTGTAGGGGGGAAATTGGCCAAAAAAAATTAGTTTAAGTCCTTAATTTTCCAATTAAAAAGTTCAGGGGGGAAATTGAAAGTTGGGTGATAGTTCAGGGGGCAAATCGACAGTTTACTCTTAAAATTATACTAAGTGGGTAATTAGGAGATGCACTTAAAATTTGTCTCCACTTCAACATATAAATTAGTATTTATTAATCATTAGATTATCAAAACCGACCACAATGATATGAGTGAGCCATTTAAAATTCTAAAAGCACATAAAATAAGCAAGAACATGACACAAATCCTGAAATATAATTATCCACAGTTTCATTCGTATTGGTATTGTCCGCGAATATATGAGATCAAGCTTCATGGTTTATATAAAAACAAAGTCCTTCTCACTCTCCCTTTTTCTCATAATTTTATATCTTATCTGTTGATTAATTTATCTAAAATGGACGGCTCGCGATCACTAATCATAATGAAAACACTATACCCTTTTTAGTTTATAGTTTTCTTGGATCAGATCCAAGTCGAATTCAGAGAGCTAGCCAGCCAATCACAGTTTGGTGGTGGAGGTGAGCTGTAAACCCTAATAACCAAATTCGTTTGAGGCATGGAGTTAGTAAATATGTTTTGTATTATATATGGATTAACAATGTCTAGGATCACATGCAGGTGCAGAATATGCAGGTGCTAGAAGGTTTTATTTTTCCCCAAGTTGGAGATAGTTTCTTGGCATCTTAGCAGTTGGTTCCTATTCGATAACATGCGTATTTTTGGATTGTCATGTTAGACTGATTAATGAAAGAGGAAATCACAATCCATCATTGCTTAAAACTGGTTAACCCTTTTTCGCATATCCTTTTTATGGATGCTAATAGTCTCTTGTCATGATAAAAATTTCTACCGTCGGTTCAAATATAACCAAAGTTGTGCTAAAAAATAAAGGGCAGCTAAATTTTGTACCCTTCTAGTTTCGGTGAAGTGGCAGTTTGATCCCTGTCATTTGAAATTTACCAAAAAAAGGCTAAAGATACGAATTTTGACGCCATTGGTTCTTCCTTAGTAGTCTAACCATCAAGTTAATCTTTGTTTTTTCTGTCGTAACACGCAGTAACCTATTTTTTTCTTCTTGGTTATTTTTCTTCGTGATTCATTTTTGGACTTTAAAATTATATCTAGATGACATGACGTCTAAGCATACTTATATAATGTTTAGTTTTACATGTTTCACGTCACGTGTCTTTTTAAATAAGTTATGTGACGCAATCATCGGAGCTCCCGTTGTTGTTTTTGGTCCTCTCTTTCCATATAAGGTTAGACTTCATCCCTACATTCCTTAACGTTTCATTCTCGTTGTTTTGAGAAGGCTGCTGCCACCAATATATTCATTTTTGTGTGAAAAGTTCATCATTTTTCTTCATGAAATTTTTATTTTAATTAAATCCGAAAAGAAATTGGTTCACATCCACACTTTGCATGATGATCTAAGATACACTTTTTCCTTATAGTATAAAATCATCTTACTTATATTTTGTCTTTGTCTTGAAGTTTCAATCAGTAATATCGTTACATATTTGTGTTATTGGTGCTACGAAGATGAAGAGTCAAGAAGGAGCTGCCATGTTTTGCTAAGACCAAAAACTTGGTGATGTGCGAGGATGAAGTTGCACGAAGGTATATAAATGTCTCTTTGATAGATTACTTAAGACATAAACCGCGCTATTGAATGTTACCTTTGTATTTGAAATTTATCCATAGTAAATACCAGGTTATAAGTAATGAGCACCAGTTTTTCCCGAACGTGGGTTTTGCGGGTGAACACCTCTTTTGTGTTCTTCGTTTTGCTTTTGTGACTTGAAAGTTAAATGTTCATCCAGCGATCCCCATAAGTTCATGGGAATTTTTGTACATTGTTGTATATGAGTTGCTCTTTAAATATTGCTAGCTCGAGGTGCCCTAGCGTTAAGGTTGCTACGATTATGCATGCTACGTGTTCCATCAAAAGTATATATATATGTGTGTGTGTGTGTGTGTATTAAATTTTTTTGAAATGTTAAGTTCTATGTGCACAGACCGCGCACCTAGAATTGTTGTGCTTGATTTCTGTATCTGTTCTAGTCATCCATATGTAGTTTTCTGATAAACTAATATGCACCAGTAGGTTTGTGAAGTATGCTTTATGTTAGTGTGATCTTGTTCTCGAGTCAAGTTATCACTGGTATCCGACTTTCATTAGCATTCCCCGGCCTACTTCACGGGCCTAAAAAAGACATCTCACTTACAAGTGATGAAGACAAAATAACACTAGACTGTAATACCGTCGGTAAAATAGAATTGATATTTAAGCCCTTGTTTAGCTATTTAGCCTAAAATTGAAACTTTTGTCAATTCTCTTTCTGAAGACTGCACGTGAGCCCCTCGTGAGATTAACTCTTCACTAAAGTCACAACCTTCGTCAAGAATCATAGTTGTTAGCTTACTAGTCCCGACTCTTTTAAAGGGGTATGAGGAGTTCCATATATAAGAAATCCCTCAAGCAAAACAAAGAACGCACAATTTCTTTGTTACTCTCTTCTCCACATCTCCATTACTGTCATCACTTTCCCTCTCCTACTCCTTACGTTCTATTTTTTGGGAAATTGATTAAGATTTGACATTCGTGTATGCCAGCAATGTGCATAAGGGAACATATATTATGTAAGGCTTCTGATTTATATTGGAGTTATATATGCATTATGAAATGTCATGATAGGCAAGTAAAGAGGCGTGTACCGCTTTAGGACAATGATATAGTGCCTCTCATGTGTTCACATACCAAAGCTTTTTTTTTCTTTTTTTTTTCTAATATTAACCAAATTTGTGTCGCCTCTTTTTTTTCTTCAGTACAAATGGTTCTATCCCTAATTACACCAAGACTTTTAGGATAAACACCACACGTCTTAGGCTATAGGTGCTGAAGTAGGGGACAATATCAATGTTAGACCATTTGACCTGACTCCCTGAAACTTTAATATATGGTATTAGAGCAGGTTTTTTTTTGCTTAAATACTTGGTATGTACTCTTTCCAGACCCCATTAACGGGTTTGTTCAAGCATGTACTATTCATGTGCTTGTCTTTCCTTTCACGATATGGAAGGTCTCTGCCTGTGTGGCCAACTAAAGATTTAGCCTTATGTGAGGGTGCATGTTGGATATCCCACTTTAGAGATTTGACAAAACAAATTACCATTTAAATAAAGGAAAACTAATGAAAATGACTTGAAAACTTTAAGTTTTAATGATAAGGACAAAATAAAGGGTAAAGTGAATAGTACCAGGATTGACTTTTTAGTGTAAAAATGTGGTTTTTTGTTAAAGTGAACAGTACCGGGTGCTTTTCGTTAAAGTTTCCTTTAAATAAACCCCACACCGCTTGAGCTACTTATGTTTATTGTCACTAATGTTGGACCATTTGGCCCGTCCCTCTATAACTTTAACAAAATCCTTGCATTTTAATTAACAAAGATGAAATGACAAAGTTAACCTCACAAATGATGCTCATTTGCGTCTTTTAGACCAAAATTTATGAAAATTTCAATTTTTGAACTAAATTTCCGGATCCAAACTCTCACCCTCTCCTTCTAGCAGTTTAGAGCAGAGAAACCGATTGTTTATCTTGAGACTATCCTTTTTCTTTTCTCTTTTCAATCAGATTGAGACTATCCTATCACACTGCAGGATTGTTTATGCAATATTAGAAGTTTTTATTTCTTTTTTTCGTAGTACATCGATATTGGACACTAGAGGGAGGGGGAGTTCGGCTAATCTACACATGGGGCAACCTAATTTGGTATCGAATTTGCTATCCACAAGATTTGAACCTAAAACCTCGCATTTCCAAGTTCTAAATGAAAAAAAATACCACTAGATTGTAATATTGAGTGACTGTAGTTAGAAGTTTATTGAAAACGAACCGAACAACATTTTTGGCCCACTGGGACCACTACGAACCAAAAAACTTTCAAGTAGTTGAAAGACTCAAATAGCATGTTACAAACTTATACCAGCAAATGCTCAAAGGCCTATAGTCCCATATCACAAGAATTAGAGCAACCAAGGCCCAAGTCCACACAACCTTAGTACCAATAATCTTGTTACATATATCATTGTTGTTGTTAATATTTAAATTGGTTTGGTTGTTGGGTCTTGTTACTCCATAGCTTAGTTTAAAGCCTTAAACCATCTTTGTAATGGACCATGAGAACTGATAAGAGTGATCGACTCAGCCCAAATGATGCCAGAAGCATGATCATGAATTGTTCTCCTCACACCCCTTTAATTCCAAAAAGTGCCCATTACTATTTGATGATCACTGCAAAAAAATTGTTAATTAGAAGAACAACACATGACCATGACCTGTAGAGTTTTTATTTTGTTATTTAGAAAGTTTTTTTAATTCGAATGTTTTCCACCCCTCGTCTTACTTCAAATTAATAAACTTGCATTTATAAAGAATATCACACCTGCAACAGAGTTACATTATGAAATGAAGTTATCCCTAACTAGGTAACGATCTCATCTTCTATGTAAGTTGAATCTGAAACATCTTTCAACTAAGTGAAGACTATTACCACGCTAGATCAAAGGCTAGCTAGTTGGTTTTGATGTTGTGTTGTATGTCGTTTGTGTCATAATATCAAATAGCTATGATATGTTGCCAAATAAAAATAATAATAAAAAAAAATTCTAGAAGTTTATGTTCATTTTTCACAATGCCAACCCTAGCGAGCCCCCAACCACTTATAATTCTCACTCGAGTCATACATACTTGAAAATGAGAGACAATGACAAAGTTATATAAGTTTCCTTTTCTCTCTTTCCGTCATACACCTACTCATGCAGACATGCACCAACTTAGCCTCCCTCCCCTCCCACGACCTTAATAAAGACAACGCTCATCTTTATGATCAAAAGTGCTTTTCCTAATGGTAGAAATTAAAAAGCAGCAAGCTGAGTTCTCTCTTCAAACTCTGGCCAAGCTTTTTTTCTCTAAAAAGCTAGACAAAAAGCATGGATGGCATCCTTTCTTGCATGCACTCCATGCAGTCAAACCAAACATCAAAACACCACCAACCGATTAGTACAATTTGGTCAAACCCTAGCTGAAATTGGGAAAGCACTTTTTTAGGGCAGACTCGATTGGCTTATATATACTTAGAAATCTAACTAAGAGCATCCAATGAAGGCTTAACTAAATGTAATTAATCTCATGATTAAGTGCAGTTTATGATTTTTAACTAACCAACCTTATAAAAGAGAAAATTGACAAGTTGATCACCCACCACATAACCGTATCATAAATGGCAGACAATGGTCGGAGCCATGATGGCTCTATTTGGTACCATATAAAGGTAACATACTCAAATCATATAAATATGTAATGCAGGTTATTGATATAATTGCTAGGCATCTTTTATAGTTACTTTTGCATGACATCACAGTTAATTACATGTAGCAACCAATAATGTTGGCTTAATGGTCCATTTTGGTCGTAATTATCATCAATATCATGACAAAGCATCTTCTATAGAGACTGCTCCATTGGGAGCAAAATCTTGACCCGTTGGTGAAGAATGTAGTTAACTCCTTAGTCCTTACAAGTAGACCATCTCAAACTTTTCTTTTGTGTTTGAAGCGAGTTAATTTTGTTTGTATGTTTGACTGTGATTTGTAAATAAGAAGAAACGGCTGCTTAATTACAACGTTAACAGGTAAAGAGGCAAGCCTTATTAAAAATATAATTTCAAGCATCAGAAAACATGTTGCTTAAAATAGGATGACATGAAATTACTTGATTAATGTTACATAAACTACAAAAGAATTATGAACCGAAGTGAGATTTACTTGTACATATGGATATACCACAGTATTCGTAAATGTGGCCTATTTAGGTTTATTACTTGTTACACAATGTTATAAACACCTATATATGCTTAAATTAAAAGTTGATGTATGAAGCACAAAAATTAAATGTGGCCTATTTAGGTTTATTACTTGTTACACAATGTTATAAACACCTATGCTTAAATTAAAAGTCGATGTATGAAGCACAAAAAGTTAAGTGGTGAACAAGAACAATATGATTCATGTGAACATGAAGCTCCCATAAGAGAACATGGTATTGGTTATTGAGGGCATAGAGCCCTATTCTTTTCCTTTTCTTTTGTAAATATGGGCGTTGGAAGATATAGATTCAGCGTACCTAGCATTCTCACAAGAAAACTGTAAGCAGGAGACTAAGTCAGCATTCACAAGAACTCTGTAACTAGGAGACTAACTCACTAAATTAAGATAGAGATCTAGAGAAGCTGCCGACAAGGGCCCAATAAACAATTTTGGTAAGCATTGGAGTGAAGCACAAGATTTAGATTGTGTTTTGGTCTGTACATACACTAGAATGTTGAAATATTCTTAACATACAAGGGTAACAAGTGAAGTATACGTATGATCACTTAAAAACTGCATTAGGAAAATACATTATCCACAAGATCTGTGCCAAATCGTCTACTAAGTCAATCTACATCATACATTCAAATAAGAAAACGTGGAGTACCATCGTTAAAGAGCATTTTCCCTTTTGAATTCAAATAACTTGCTTATGCTTCCTATTGTAGATATATATCATGACTATACTCAAAATTACACCGTTCGACTTTCTGTTTAGTTGATTTCATTCAAAATAACAGGCAACCTTGCTTTTAGCTTATTTTAAAAAACGGAAACTAGCTCCGTCATTGGTTTCAATATAGGACTTGGATTCTCTGCCCTCCCAATTCGGTACTTTTCCCGTGCCCTCCTGTTTGTGTGGTCACGGTTAAGACACGTCAATATTTTATATTACTATTTTTATTTTGTCTTATTATTTTTATAAAAAATAATATAAAATGTTAGCATGGATTAACCGTGACCACACAAAACAGGAGGGCACGGGAAT